CCACGTCAGGCTCTCTGCTGTCAGCACAGAGCCCACTTCAGATCCTCTGTCCCCGTCTCTTGCTCTGCCCCTCACCTGCATGCGTGTGTGCTCTCTCTCTCTCAAAAATAAATAAACATTTAAAAAAACAAAAAAATAAAGATTTCAGAAACATGGGTTTTTATTATTCATGAATTAAGAAATACTTATTTTTCTGAATATGTTAAGTTCCCATTCATAAAGTAGTTCGAAAATGGAATGTTAGACTAAGGGTTAGCTTAAAAACCATAAATAAATAATTATATTTATAAGTTTCTTATAAAAGAAAACACACTTTACCCTAAAAATGGTATTCATTTGGTAGTTCATAAAGCACTTCAGAGTTTTTCAGTATTCTAGTTCTTAATTTGAACATCAATTTTGCTTAAGACAAATTATATGATACGTAATATGGAAGTTTATTTTTGCCATACAGTCCTTATAAAAGCTTAGTTTCTGATTTGGTTGCTTTCTCATAAAAGTAAAATACAGAATTATCAATCAGGTTGTGTGACTTTTTAAATTTATAAACCAGATGGATAGATTCTATTTAATCAGGAAAAATGTACCTTACTCTGTTTTTATAAACTGTTATTTAATATTAATAGCTGCACTGGTACATCTTTCTATATCTGTGTGTGATACATCAGTTTTAATTTTCAGGGCTTCCTATGATACCTCTGCTCCAAATGCAAAACGGAAGTATCAGGATGAAGGGGAGACAGACGAAGACAAGATGGAAGAATATAAGGCAAGTAGAGAACAGGGAAATTTTATGGTCAGGAAAAAATAAGTCCTTACAATAATAGATTGTTATCCAGGAAAACAAATTTGATTAAAAACTTAATTTTAAACTTTGTAAAATAATCATCAGTAGCATATGTATACAGGCATACCCCAGAGATATTGCAGATTTGGTTCCAGACCATCACAATGAAGTGAATATCACAATAAAGCAAGTTAAATGAAATTTTTGATCTCCCAGTGCATATAAAACTTAGGTGTATACTATCTTACAGCCTATTAAGTGTGCAATAGCATTATGTCTGATAAAACAAGGTATATACCTTAATTTAAAAATACTTTATTGCTAAAAAATGCTAGCCATCATTTCAGCTTTCAGCAAGTCATAATCTTTTTTTGTTGGTGAAGGTCTTGCCTCAATATTGCTACAGCTTCTACATCAGCACCTGCTGCTTCACCTTACACTTTTATGTTACTGAGACGGCTTCTTTCCTTAAACTTCATGAACCAACCTCTGTTAGCTTCAGACTTTTCTTCTGTAGCTTCCTCACCTCTCAGCCTTCATAGAATTGATGGGAGTGAGGGCCTTGCTCTGGATTAGGCTTTGGTTTAAGGGAATGTTGTGGCTGATTTGATCTTCTGTCCATATTATTATAGCTTTTTCCATATCAGCAATACAACTGTTGCCCTTTCTTACCATTTGTGTGTTCACTTTCTTATCATTTGGGTGTTCACTGGAGTAGCACTTTTTTTTTTTTTTTTTAATTTTTTTTTTCAACGTTTATTTATTTTTGGGACAGAGAGAGACAGAGCATGAACGGGGGAGGGGCAGAGAGAGAGGGAGACACAGAATCGGAAACAGGCTCCAGGCTCCGAGCCATCAGCCCAGAGCCCGACGCGGGGCTCGAACTCACGGACCGCGAGATCATGACCTGGCTGAAGTCGGACGCTTAACCGACTGCGCCACCCAGGCGCCCCTGGAGTAGCACTTTTTAATTTCCTTCAAAAACATTTCCTTTGCATTCACAACTTAGCTGTTTAGTGCAAGGGACATAGGTTTTGGTCTTTCTCAGATGCTGCATGCCTTTCCTCATTAAGGAAAATTAAGCTAGTAATTTCTAGCTTTTGACTTAAAATGAGAAATGTGCAATTCTTCCTTTTACTTAAATACTTAAAGGATGTTGGAGGGTTATTAATTGGCCTAGTTTCAGTATTGTGTCTCAGGAAATAGGGAAGCCCAAGGAGAGGGAGAGAGGGGAACAGCCAGTTGGTGGAGCAATCAAAACACATTTATTAAGTTCACCATCTTGTATGGACTCGGTTCATGGTGCCCCAAAACAATTACAATAGTAACATCAGAGATCACTGATCACAGATAACCATAACAAATATAGTAATGAAGAAGTTAGAAATATTGTCAGAATTACTAAAATAAGATACAGAGACATGAAATGAGCAGATACTGTCAGAAAGTGGTGCCAATAGACTTGCTCAAGTCTATTGAGCACGGTTGCCACAAACCTTCAATTTGTAAAAATTGTGATGTCTGAAAAGTACAATAAATTGAAGCACGATAAAATGAGGTATGCCTGTAATCGATTAAATTAAGATCTTTATTTCAGTTTCCTCATTTTAATGTAAGAGGTGACATATAAAGCATAAGGCCTAGTAGCCACTGACAGTAATATTCTTTAGTAAGAGTAAGGAAGTGTGTGTATCAGAAACTTTGGATAATTGGATCAGGTTTCAAGTGGCTAGAATATGGTCTTTTTTGAGAGTTGTGTGATTCCATGTTTATTATATTGGGTAGTATAGTTAAAATATTTTGACATCTCATGTGCTAGACAGCAATGTAGAATTGTCTCTGAAAGAGGCTGAAGGAAAAAAACCCAACTTCTAAACCTATAATTGCAATATTTAGTTGAAAAGAAAGTATTATGGGGGTACCTGGGTGGCTCAGTGAGTTGGGGTTCCAGATCTTATTCTCAGCTCAGGTTGTGAGTGCAAGTCCTGTGCTGGGCGTGAAGCCTACTTTAGAAAAAGAAAAGAAAAGGGTCCCCTGGTGGCTCAGTCTGTTAAAGCATCAACTTTGGCTCAGGTCATGATCTCATGGTTCTGTGAACTCGAGCCCTACATCAGACTGCGTTGGCAGTATGGAGCCTGCTTGGGATTCTGTCTCTCTCCCTCTCTCTCTCTGCATCTCCTCTGCTAGTGCATGTTGCTCTCTTTTTCTGTTTCAAAATAAATAATGTCTTGAAGTTATAAAGTGTCTTGATATTTTGAAGATATAAAATACAGATATAAAGATATTTTGAAGATATATAAAATATTTTGAAGATATAAAATAATAATATTTTGAAGATTTTAAAGAAAAGTATTATGTTTAAAAAGCCTATCTCCATTTTTTAAAGTTGATTGTTGTACAGCTATATTTAATAGAGAAGGGAATAAATAGTTTCAGTAAATCTCTAGGAATTTCAGTGATATAATTGGCCAATCTCATGAATACAGTTTTGTGCATTGCATTTTGGTATATGTTAATATGCAACTTAAAATTAGTGATTATTTATTGTGATCATTTTATTTACTTACTAAATATTGTGATTGTATAAATATGTATATTTTACCATATACAGTTCCTTATATTTTAACATTTTTGATTTATAAAAAGTTTCATATGGTTTTTAATAGAAATAAAATTGCCCCATTGGTGGTCATATCTTTCATGATTTGAACTAAATTCTAATGTTAATAGTATGATACATGAGATAATTCTAGACAATTCAGTCAACAAAATTAGTAGTTATATTGATTTATCATTTATTGATAAGATGAAAATTTTTATTTATTATAAACATAACTAATTGGATAATGATGAGAATGCAGTCTTCAGTGTTTGACTTTAATGATAATTTGAAAAACTTATTGTATCTCAGGAAAAGAAAATATTTATATTGAGTCTTAATACTCAAGATATCATAAATATATAAAATATTCCTCGTATACATAAAATGTCTACTTAATCTTCCTTTTCCAAGGATGAATTAGAAATGCAGCAGGAAGAAGAGAATTTGCCATATGAAGAAGAGATTTATAAAGATTCTAGTACTTTTCTGAAGGTAAATTTTCAAATCATTACCCTTCACATTTCATCTCTGCATGAAAAGATTTTAAATGCTTATTTTCAATATTTTTTCAGTTATTGAGGGATCATTATTTTAAAATAATCATTTAAAATTATTCTTGAAATAGTCTGATATTTGGCTATTTGGGATGAGATAATGCTGTATTAATGTCTGTAGCTACTGAAGAGTAATGCTGTCAGTTACTGTGTTTTCAAATATTACTAAATTTTTTTAATCTATCAATTTTGATTTTGTATCGTCTCATAATAAAAAATAAAGTACAGAGTTAGTGCATCTGCCATTAGAGTAAATGCTCTTAATTTAATTTTGACTTTTTCTTTAGGGAACGCAGAGTTTAAATCCCCATAATGATTACTGCCAACATTTTGTAGACACTGGACATAGACCTCAGAATTTCATCAGGGATGTAGGTATGTTAGATTTGTTGGGAATATGCTATTGCTAACCCTTGATTACATTCATGTGATTTATCCATTTTGTGGATTATTTCTAACAAAATTATTTTTCCTGGCTTGGCTTCCCATTTCCAATTTCAGTACTTCTAGTATCCCTCCTTTTCCATCTAGCAGTGTTACTCTCTCTCTTCCCTTCCTTCCCTCCTTCCTCCTACCTTCTTTCCTTCTCCAGTTTGGTTCTGTGACTATACTTGCATTTTTATTTTATCTTCGTTTATTCCCTCTTCATTGCTTTTCCTTTCTTTCTGTAGATCTGATTTTCTCATCTATATTATTTTTTTTTTCTTCTCCCTGAAGAATTTCTTTTAACACTTCTTGCAAGTCAGGTCTGTTGGCAACAAATTCCCTTAATTTTTGTTTTTCCAAGAAAGTCTATTTTTCTTTGGCTTTTGACGAATAATTTCACAGAGTATAGAATTCTTGGTTGGTGTTTAATTTCTTTCAAAACTTTAAATATTTGACTCCAATCTTTTCTTGCTTGCATGTTTCTGAGAAGTTGGGTAATTGTTATCTTTGTTCCTCCATAGGTATGGTGTCTTTTTCCTCCGGTTTCTTTGAGATTTTTTCCTTTATATTTGATATTCTGTAGTTTGAAAATGATATGCCTTAGGTTTAGGGGTTTTTTTTGGCATTATCCTGCTTGGTGTTCTCTAAGCTTCTTGAATCTGGTTTGATGACATTAATTTGGGGAAATATTATTATTTCAACTATTTCTTCTGTTCTTTTCTATTTTCTGGTATTTCTGTTATACATCTTACATTTTTGTAGTTGTCGCACAGTCCTTGGATAATCTATTTTGCTTTTTTTTTTTTTTTT